ACTGACCACATAGACCCATTATTTCATATGTGGGCCTACCAGCTTTCTTGCACTAGATTTGAGGGCGCTAGAATTTAGGCGTACCAGTACGTCAAAAACCCTGGTGCGTAAGCCGTACTAGTACGTCAGAAACCCTGAAAGGGTTAAAATACCTCATAAATCAGCACAAGTTTGTTAACCCTTTCGCTGTTGCAAACTTGCTCCCAGTGTCAAAGAATTAAAAATAAAAAAAATACTTTGTCTTATGAAATGATGGAGAATCTTTTTCCAAAGGTAATGAAACCAAAAGTATGAAATTTGATGGAAAACTTAAGGAATTATACTCTCGCAAAGTTAGCAGTCTCGTCAATATTTACACATCACTGATTTTGCCCAATGTACGCCCTATTTTTGGCCAATTCCATTGTTCTAGTCAACCAAACCTATAGCTATTTTGCTAGTATTCCTTCTATTCTGTTGATTGAATGCAAGAGAGCTCCCATTTACCTATTTCAACTACCCAAGAAAGTGATCAAAAATCAGTAATTTGGCCCATCTCACAAATTTCAAGAGATACCAATTTCAAAATAAGTGTCCAGAATAAACAATGCAGACTAAAATAACATTTTCTCTGCTCATTAGTCACGTCTTCACTCCCCTCTTATATTACACTTGCTTTCCACTCTGAATTTTTATTCACACAAAAAATAGATTTGCTGTTATGCAGACTACTGCATTATTGTAATAGTTGTATAAATAATGTGAACTCATTCATGACCACATATTAGACCGACCAGTTGGACACGTATTGGTCGCTTGACGTGATTTGTTTACTCTTGAACATTGGCAAAAATCGAACATTTCCACTAATTTTAGCTCAATTTTGAGGTACTTTCCATCCTGAAACCAATCAAACTCATTTCTATTTCTGTAAAATATCTTCCATTCTATCAAATGAGACTGAAAACCTGAGAATACAACCATAAAAGCCATGTGAAAATACACTGCAAATTCGCTGTTTTACACCAAAAATACGGTTGCCGTTTTTTCTCATTATGCACTGCGTGCTGCAGAATTTTTTTTATATAGTGCACACTTTCCACACAGATGTATTCTCTCACATCTAGGCCCAGATTTAACGGTCACAAATTATTTGAGTGAGCTGGGCTCATGGTGTCATACTCTGGGACCGACAGTGGCTTCGAAGCCATGATACAGTGGGAGTGACAATGGAAGGGTTAATAAAGTTAACCATTTTGACTTACTCAAGAAAGTTCATTACTGCCGCTTCCAAAGTGAAGAGCTGAAATTTACAACTCGACACCTTCACTTCCACATAGCCTAAACCACTTCATCAGAACTTGATCTAGTTCTGAACTTTTTTCTTCCTTCATTGTTTTCCTTTTACACATCTCTTTCTTTGAATCACTGTTAACAAAGAAACCAAGTAATTTTTCTTTGTTTCTTTATGTCATAAACTATTGAAGAGCCAGTGCTGTAAAATTCACACAAGCTTCTCACAGACACACATCTGTCAACTTTTTTCAAAAGTTCAACCTTATCTTTTATGGACAGTGTACAGTGTTTGTGTTTTTCACAACGAGAAGCATTTCCTTTATTCATTGGAACCATGGCTAGGGTTAGAATGAGCAGGTTATAATTACAAATGGAGAAAACAAATTGGAATGGCTAGCCTGTGTTTGCAAGCGACTCCAACAGTTTTTATGCAACAAGTAGCAGCGGGTTGGTGAGGCAACCCAGGAAATTTGAAATTATGCTAGCTGAAATTAGTGCCAGATTAGTGATGGAACCTGATTAGTGATTGCCAGATTAGTGATGGCCTACCTGTAATAGCAACAAGGAAGAATTTTATCTGACCTTAAATTCCTTGTTCTCTTGCTTGTTGATAAATAAGTGTTTGGAGATGTTTATTTGACTACTGACCATCAGTGGCTGTGAGCCATCTGTTTATATTTAATCAGCAGATGGCTGTGACTTGGTCATCTGTTAGGGTTAAGAAAGCCACTGCAGTATATGGCAACCAGCAACCAGCTTTCTCCCAAGCCATATAAATCTCTAAACAAAAGTTTTCATGCCTGAGCCACTTTTTTCATATATAAATGAATTACTGCATAGGTGTAAGTTATGGGAGGTCTACTTGTATAGTTCAAAATAGCAAAAGAAACAAAAAAAACATAATCCTTAGTTAAATGGCTTACAACTTGTTCAACACAAGTGACTCTGGACATAACAAACCAAAGTAAAACAAAATCTCTCAAAAAAATTTTGGTATCGATCTATATATATTTTTTATTTGAACAGAATTTTAAGGGAAATTTATATTCAAGCTCAAATAACATTTTTTTCTCTCTGTAAGATATACTTTATGTGAAGAGGTGTACTGGTGAAGACAAAAGACAGCTATACATCATTAGTTATACATGTGGAGTATATTACATTAGTGCTGTAAATGGTGAAATGTTTGGAAAGTGGAATTCAAAGAATTATAAGGAAAATTCATCTGGATATTAGCAATCTAGAATATAGCTGTATTAAGTCTATTTTTTTTTTAATGTATTTTCATAATTAGAAACTTCACTGACATGACAGTTTTCAAATACTGTATCAAGTTTTAAAAGTTATTGACAGTACATTATTGCATTAGAGTTATTATAACATTAATATTTATTTAAAAAATCTTAAAACTTTGCTCCTAGCAAATTTTATATACAACTTCCAAGTCTGTGTTATAGCTCCAGAGAATATTCTTGATAACTGGTTTAAATGTCAATATCTATAATAAAAAAATACTTCAGATGTGCCATTCACTTTATATCTGCCAATCATTTTTGTCATTTATCACGTTATTTTCTTTTAACCTGTCTGCCTCGTATTAGTTTTCCATATTAATTTGCTTAAATTTAAGAGTTTGAGTATATTGTGTATGTATTCCTAAATAATATCAAAGCTTTTTTTTTTTTTCTTTTCTTTTTTTTACACAGTGCATAGATTTTTATGACCCATATCTCTTGCTCAGTAATGCCTCTGTTGTCACAGTTGCTCATCTTAGATATATACTGTATTTGAATAGTTAGGTATGTATGTAAGCAAGCATGTATGTATGTATGTAAATATGTATGTATGTATATATATACAGTATGTGTGTGCACATATGGTATAATGTATTTTATGAAAGTGGGAATATATGCTAATAAAACTAAAGTAGATTTCAGCTTTAAAATAAAATCTCTCTATAATGAGGAGGTCTGTCAACTTATAAACCAGTGCTTAAATGAATCTTATTTAACTGCATAAAACAAATACAGTACTTGAAAAACTAGTACTTGCCCCATTTTACTTTGAATAATTAAAAACTGTGGCAGTTATCTCAATACAGCCCAAGTTTAAACACATCCATTTGTCTTATTGTGACCAGTATGTATGTACTGTTTTACAACCACAGTAAACGTAGATCAAGTATAAGAGTTTTAAGTTTAGTTTTTTTTTTAAATTTCTCTGCTTAGTTTTAGTAAGTAAATTGTGTACAGTAATTATAGCCAGTGTACACAGCCACATTGTCATACAAATCCTACAGTTTTGTATGTAAACTTAGCTACTGTATGTACTCTTAGCAAATTTATGTGAGAGTTATCACTGTACATTCCTTTAGTTTGTTTTCTGAGCCATAGATGGTATTGAAGTCCCTCAGTTTCCTTAAATAGTATCTTAACTCTAGGACCATAAGTGTGACCCCTGTGTTGTTATCAGGTCCTCCGTCTGCTGCCCTTATCTTCTGCCCGTCTTTCCCCTCTACTGATGATTTTTTCAGTGGCTTCCCATGTCCTTTCATTTCCTTCATCTTCCTGTATCCCCCAAATCTGTACACTAGAACTCATTCAGATTTCCTCTAAGACTCTTCATAGTGTCTGCTTTAAAGCTACTCTGTAGTATGATTAGCAGGGTAAGATTTCTAATTGTCTAGTATTTATTATTTTAGATGCTGTCCTTAGTACACTTGATGTGAATGTGTTAGTTATATTAACCCTCAAATACAAAAAAAAAAAATGGTTTTCATGTCCTTTGTCCTCTAACTGCTCTTGAGTCTCCCTTTACTTTGCATAACTTTGTGTTAGTGCTTGCTGCTTGTTATGTTCAAAATGCATTTTTTTTGTTGTTGTTGTTGAAATTATTTCTGTAGTAGAGTATAATGAATCTTTTCTTTTGTATTTTTGTACCAGTGCTGTATTATTTTTCATTATTATTGCTTATGATTTGTTTTTGTTGCTTATGCACATGTAGATGAGTGCCACAAAGTATGCCTTATTAACAACTTCAGTACCTTGTGTATCACAAACATTGCTAGGATGCTATGAAACTGGCGGTGGCAGGCTTATAGTATGAGGTAACGTATTTGTATGGTTCACAGGAAATAATAAAACATGAAATTCATTGATAAAGTATGTAATGTAGGGACTGGTGGTAATGTTTTAATTATTTTTATAGTTATGCTAGATAGGCTACTACTTTGGGGATAATGGAAACTGGTATTTAATAATGTGAACACTATGGTGTTCGCATAGATGCCCATTTACACATTGCACGATTTGGCATGACCAGAACAAAAAAAAAAAAATGAAATCTCACCACAGTAACACTGATTTAGAGCAGCAATACGCAGGTATTCTATTGGCTTGTACCAGTATTACTTATATATCGAATGGCTTATTCCTCATTGTTATTATCATCTGTTTCACCGAGTCTTATCGTTATCCTGCTTGACACAGTTTAGTTGGTGGCGTGTTGCTGCTACTGTGGGTTAAGTTGTAGAATTTGTGCTTGAGTTAACACTATCACCATCACCACCACACCTGCTCCCCCTATACTACCAACGCTCCTCATCATCACACCCGTGTCCCTGGTGGCAGCGGGAAGATAGCAGCGAGGAGGACCGGTAGCTCACAGGTGTAGAGGCATTGCTTACACCCAAGATCACTAGTGTCTGATCTCTTCTTCTGTGGCAGCCTTAACCCAGCAGGCGGCACTCCGGCTTGTGGACAGAAGGGTTGTCCATGATGATCCACTTCAGCAGGATGTGCTCCAGCTTGTGGACAAAAGGGTTGTCCATGATGATCCACTGCAACAAGAGGTATCCCAGCTTGTGGACAGAAGGGTTGTCCATGATGAGCCACTTCAGCAGGAGGTGCTTCAGCTTCTGGACAGAAGGGTTGTCCATGATAAGCCACTTCAGCAGGAGGTATCTCAACTTGTTGACAGAAGGGTCATCCATGATGACTCAGTTCAAGAGGTATCCCAGCTTGTAGAAAGAAGGATTACCCATGATGACTCACTTCAAGAAGAGGTATCCCAGCAGCACTTTACTGACAAACAACAACCACTTGATAATACTGCAGTTGTATCAGACAGTTCGGCTAAGAGTGGACGAACGGAGGAGAGGGGGTGCAGTCCTATTACTGTGCTTGAAGCAAGGCCTGAAATGAACCAAATGAAAGTTAGACCACTTTCCAGAGGTAGTTCCCACACGATCACCACAACTACCAGCTGGGGAGCACCGGTCTCCACTACCACTAACATTCAGCTCTGTGATAATGAATCAGCACACTGTGTGCAACTTACTTTGCATTCAGAGAGTTGTGTTACATTGCATGCTCCTGAAGAAATTTGGGAGGAGTTACGACATGTCAGGCAACAGCCAACACCACAAGAACAGCAGCCAACACCACAGGAACAGCAGCCAATGCCAAAAGAACAGCAACCAACACCACAAGAACAACAGCCAGTACCAAAAGAACAGCAGCCAACACCACAAGAACAGAAGCCAACACCACAAGAACAGCAGCCAACACCACAAAAACAACAGCCAACACCACAAGAACAGCAGCCAACACCACAAGAACAGCAGCCAACATCACAAGAACAGCAGCCAACATCACAAGAACAGCAGCCAACACCACAAGAGCCACAGTCAACAATGCAAAAGCAGCAGACAACACTGCAAGAGCAGGAGCCAATACCACAAGAGCAGCAACAGTTACAACAGCAGCAGCCAACACCACATGAGCAGCAACAGTTACAACAGCAACAGCCAACACCACAAGAGCAGCAACAGCAACAAAAGCAGCAGTCATCACTACAAGAGCAACAACAACAGCAGCAAGATCAGGAATCCAGCCAAATAGTGTCAAATGTAGAAATGGAGAGTAAACTTACTGAAGAAACTGTAGCAGTTATAACAAAATCAAAAAAACTGAATAAAAAGAGAGACCTTCAAGTAGAGGAACATTATGAGAATGATAGTGAAAAAGATGTTGAAGAAAGGACAGACACTGTAGATGATTGTAACATTGAGCAATCACTCAGTGATCACAAGTTAGTAGAAAGTGTAGCAACATTGGATGAACCCATTACTGAAGACCATCATAAAAGTCAAGATCCATCCAAGAAGGTCTTTTCTGATACATTTGAACAGACTACAGTTGTAACATGTGATGAATTAGTTAAAAGTATACAGAAGCATTTAAGCAAGGAAATAGATATTTCAGGTAAATACAGAGGGAAAGAATTTGAAGAATTAAGTACATTAAGTGAAAGTATATCACCAGTAACAGAAGTTGAAGATCTGATATACAAAGAAAAGGTTTCCAGAGAAGTTGCTGTGTTAAGTGATGAGGCAGTTGATAAAGATATCATTTTATTATCAGCTGAAGATTCTGTTGCTGCATTAACACAAGCTCTTTTGAGAAATATAGAACTAAGTGAATATGAAGACCCAGCAGCTTTAAGTGAAAAACTTCTTTATGCAGCAAATGAAGTTATAGCCCCATCAGCACACCGTCCAACGACACTCATGATAACTTCGAATTCAAACGAATCGACCGACGATGCAGAATGCATGGCAAACGACCCTACCAGAGATGGAAGGGAAAACGATATTCCTCAGGATCTGAAACAAGAAGGAAGTAGTACGGCAGTCATGGAAGAGTCTGAACAGCAAGAGATGCAAATGGTGCAGTCAACAGTTATGAATGAGCGCCTTTCTGGAAGTGAGAGTGGCGCTGTGCCTCGTACAGAGCGTTCTGTGCGGTCAGCACCTCGCACCACTACCTTAGTTAAGGTAAAAGTGGAGAAAAGACCTGTTGGCAGCCATCCTCAAGCACGAGAAAGAATTGCTCATGAACACCAAACAGTAGTTCATGCCCCTTCTGTAGAGGAGGAAATGCGTGGATTAATGCAGGAAGTAAAGGAAGCAACCAGTCAAATAAAGCAAGAGGTGAAAGAATTACGTCAAGCTGACACACCTACTCCTGACACTCCCACACCTTTGAGAGAGTTTAAGGAGTTCTTAAACAGAGAGGAAGAACAAGAACAGGAGCGTCTTCCCACAATTAAGGAGATATGTCGTGAAAGTGAGGAAGATGCTTTTGTCAACACAGGAGGTGAGCATGCATATGAAAATGAGCAGTTTAAACTCAGATTGAGTGTACCAATACAAGAGCAAATTGTCCAACCTGATATTGATGACATTGTTCATCCAAACAGTGAGGATTCCACTGTAGAAGGTTACTATGCTGTGTCTGTTAACCCTTCTCAAGCTGCCAAGTACACACCTTTCAGTGCAATAGTTCCTGAGGAATACTCTGACGAGTGTAATATTAAGTCCAAACCTGAAAGCCCTTCAACCCCTGTAGATAATTTTGATAGTTTCCCTGTAGTTAGCATAGGTAGTGACATGTCTTCTAATAGTAAAGAGCAAAGCAAATCTAAGCTTAAGTCTTTCTTTAAGAAAGTTCGTAAACTAACATCCAAAGGGCTTCATAAACCTGAAAGTGGGACACTTGATGACCTTGGGGAAAATTTATTAGATAGGAACAGAGAAATTCCAAGTATTGCCAACTACAAATCAGAAATCTGGGAAAGAAGTGGGATCAAAACAAATGTTGATGAGGTTAAGTCACCATTTTATGAATCTATCAGTACAATTATACAGCCAGAGACTCTTGAAGAGAAATATGATAGATATGAGGAAGACCAATGTAGAATTGGAGAGCAGAAGCAAAATGAAAGTAGTGTGATTAATTTGAAAGTGCCCATTGAAGATCCTATAAAGGAAATTACTATTTCTTCCTTAACAGGTAGTATAGTAACTGAAATCATAGACACACACCCAGCAGTATCAAAATCACTAGTCAGTAAAGAAGTCGATACAGATTGTAATATTTCAGAATTTCCATTTAGTGAAGCATGTCATAGTCACTCTGCTTTAGAGTGGCCACTTACAGAACAACCCTTGACTCTCTCTCCAGCACTAGAATTCTCTGACTCTGATGTGCCTCACATCAGTAATGTTTCTCATACTGCTGAGGTGCCTCACACAACTGAGACACCTCACACCGGTATGGTTTCTCACACTGCTGAGGCATCTCATACCACTGAAGTACCTTACACTAGTAAGGTTTCTCATATTACTGAGGCTCCTCACACTGCTGAGGTTGAAGTACCTCACACCACTGAAGTGCCTTATACCTCTGAGTTTCCAGAATTACAGCTTACAAAGGATGAAATTCACTATACTGGAACTCCTAAATTTGATTTCTCACATACTGAGATACATTACATTAGGTCTTCAGAAGTAGCATCACCAATTATTGTAGGCAATTTTTCAGTGCCAGAATTGGAAAGCAATGAACTGGACTACACTGATTCTTCATTGTCAGATTTCCCATCAGGGCAAGCTTCACTTCATATTGAAGTTCCGTGCACCGAGGCTTTAGTATCAGGATTGACACTGAGTGTAGTACCTCTTCCTGTGTGTTCAGAATCAGAATTATCAGACACTAAAGTGCCTCTTGTTGAATCTTCAGTGTCAGACTCACCACCCACTACAGTGTCTCACATCCTGCATTCAGTATCAGACACTAAAATGCCTCTCACTAAATCTTCATTATCTGAATCACCACACACTGAAGTACCTCACACTTTTTGCTCACTATCAGACAACAAAGTGCCTCATATTGACCCTTCGGCATCAGAATTGCCACATACTGAAGTGCCTCTCATCATGTGTCCAGCATCAGACACTAAAGTGCCTCCTGTTGAATCATTGATATTAGAATTACCATACACCGAAGTGCCTCTCACTGAGCATTCAGTATTAGAATTTGCATACACTGAAGTGCCTTTGACTGAATCTATTGTGCCAGAATTGCTACACACTGAAATGTCTGACACTAAGTCTTCAACATCAGAGATACACTGTACTGAAGTGCTTTACAGTGAACTTCAAATGCCAGACTTAACAGGTGCTATGGTGTCCCTGGTTGATTCCTCATTATCAGCAGTGTCACACACTGAGGTTGCAGTTGTAGAGCCATGTGACTCTACTGAACCTTTGTTGACTGATATATCAGCTATTGCACCACTAAATGAAAATTCATCAGTCACTCTTTCAGCAGATCGAAAACTAGAGTGTGTGTCTGTGTTGTACAAACTAAAGAAGAATGGAAGCAGAGCAATGGTATCTCATTCAGCAGGTGATATTAATGTTGGTTTGCCATTTGAAAAAATGGAGGAAAATGATAATCTGGCATTTAAAAATGTAGAGAAGCATTTTGGGAAAGATAATGATAATGTTACAAATACTTCAATAGGAACAGAAATAAAAGAAAATGATATTAAACAGGCAGTAAATTTCCAGATGATGGAATCAATTAGACCAGACTTGCATACTACTGAAATACCAGTTTTACAATCACAGTCTACAGTAAAGACAGAACAGTGCCCACAAGTGTTGACATCAGACAAAATCTTTGATATAAAATCTGAACACAATATAAATGTTGGCAATGGGCATTTAGAAGTGCCCAAAGATGTATGGGTGGGGGAAGGATCAAGGGAAAGTTTGTTTTCTGAAGAAAGCATCCAATTTCCATCACTGGTGGAACTCGCTGAATTCTGTCCATCATCAACAGTATATGAAGATGATGATGAGTATATTGAGTTTCCTAATTCAGATGTTGTTGAGATACTGGAGACAGTATTTGAACTTGATGAAACTGAAGACATAGATGATTGTAGCCATAATGTTAAAGGTACTGAATATTTTGAAAAACAAGAAATTGGAACACAGTACCAAATGGAAAGAAGCAGTGAGTTGCATTTTACCATTGATGATATGTCAGATATTTATGATACTCATAATGATGAAATACAATTATTATCTGAGGCAGATATTAAAGCAATGGATGAATCTTCAAGCTTTCTTGAGAAGCCCAGAAATGAAACTCAACTGTTAAATGAGATTGAATGTACACCATTAGTGCAGTCATTTGGTCTGCAAGAAAATATAGAAACAAGAGCAGCTATGATGATGGATATTAATACAAAAGGAAATAAAGATGAATTTGATGAAACAAAAAGCAGTAATTTAAAATTTGATAGAACAGAGCATGTGTTGCATCTTTCACATTCTCCAGATATATTATGTAAAGATGATAAGTTCATACAAAAAGATGAAAGATGTATAGATGATTATATCAAATCAGGTAAAATAATTCAGGAAGATATACCACTAAGTGACACAGTTCTCCATAAGAGGATTTTAGATCCAAATGAAGAAATAGGCTTAGATAGTGGCGAAAAATTCAAAGTTGAGGAAAGCAAAGATTTTGATGATTCCTTGACTGAAGATGTGCTGTCACCCAAACCTGTTGACAAGAAAGCCGAAAAACTAAAAAGACCATACATTTGAGGCTTTCGATGAAGTATCAGTTTCACAAGTTACCCCAAAGCAAGAAGAGCAAAGTGATTTGGTAGCTGGTGTTCCATCAAGTCCAGTAACACAAGAGTTCCTGCTTAAATTAAGCCACATGAAAGAAGATGTAATGATCCCTGAAGCTACCAAATATGAAACAGCATTTCCTATACTCATTATGGAAACAACTGATGAGTCCTCACAGAATAAGTTGAAATGAATGAACAGATAACAGAAATAGAAAACATGCAGCAAACCAATTTAAGTGTTGTTAAAAGAGGTTTGAAATATGAACCAGAAGAGAATTCATCAGTGTTAAAATCTAGTGCAGAAAAATTGATCAGTGATGTATCTGAGGTTAAAGAGGTCAAAGAATTACACATAGCTGTATTAAATGAGCCATATATCAAACATTTACACAATATTCATGTAGTTGAAGCAGATGAAGCATTTGAAACTGAAGAAATTGAAGAACTACCATCCTTTGAGTCAACTTTAGTAAGCAAGCTGGACCAAGCATATGCAGTGACTGAACTGGAACAATTATCATCACCATCAACAGAGCAGGTTGTAGTGAATGAAGCACATTATGAGGTATTGAATGATGTGTTAGATACTAATGATGGTTCTCAAAGAGAATTTATTAAATCAGAAGACAGTCAAATTGATGTAGCAAGCAAATTTTCAGAAATGGATGACTCTGTCTTGAGACCCAGTGATATACAGGAAGGTCAGGGTTATATGATGCCAATGATAAAAGACATATACAACACTCTTAGAGAAGGGGATTCTAAAGAATTACCTGTATCCAAAAATATTGAGGTGCTTTTAAGTGGTGATAGTAAGAGATTATTTACACCAGAATCATTACTAACAAGAGATTCTACTGAAGCTAAAACAATTCCACCTGACACAAAAGAAAACTTTTCTGAAGGAATTAAAGCAGAAGCAGTAATTGCTGAGTCTAAGTTAACTCAGTTGCAGTCAACATTGGGTAGTACTGAAAAGGAACAGTCCTTGGAATTGGACATTAAAGGGAATGAACCTGATAATAAGGAAGAGAATTATTGCAAATCAGTAATACCAGTAGTTGGAAAATATTTGTTCAAAGATATCTTGATAGCAAATGCTGTATCTGACTTGGATACAGTTGAATCTACTCTAGATGTAATGGAATGTGTAGACACCTCACAGGTGAGAAAGCCTTTAAGTTCAGAAGAACAAATCTCACATTATGAATGTGAGTATAGTGCATCTGACAAGGCTGAAGAGTCATTGTTTGGCATGGACAATACTTATTCACAAAAAGATAATGGAGAGGAAGTGTCAGTGACAGATGACATAATAACTGAAGATTTTGATAATGTTCAAGAAGCACAGGTAAATGTCAGTTACCAAAAATTAGGGAGCACTGTAAAGGATGCTAATATACCCTTAAACTTGCAGACAAAAATTGGCTTACGCCACAATGCAAAATTGGTCAGACCAACAGTATCTGAAGATGCACAAGTAAATGAATGCAGTATCATCATCCCAATTGAACTGAGAAAATATGATCTGGATACAAAACAATTAAGTAATAAAAATATTAACTATGGCAGATTAGAATCTGAGTCAGAAACCAAACCCAGTGAACATTTTGAGGATGCAACAGAATTAGTCAAACCTCCAGAGCTGAGCAGTACAGAGGTAGAGGTGAGTGAACAATTAATAGAAGATGTAATAGACTCAACTTTAATAAGCCCTTGTAAAAATGAGAATGTTTCTGTGCTAAATTCTGTTTCTGAAGAACTTAAAACAATCATTTTTACTTTAGAGCAGAATCTGATTGCTGGTACAAACACTGATATTAGCATAACACCCATTCTTGCAAGGTTAGAACAGATGGAACAAGAAGTGGTTAACCTTGATTCCATTTCCAAAGCACCTGAGTCCAGTATTCCTGTTTTATTACATGATATTCAAATTGATGATGTAGTGTCTACTTCGCAGGCTTCATCATCCACACAGAAGGAACTAGAAACTCACAGAGAGAAGTTAAATTTTGAAGACTTCAGCTACAGTAAGGTTACGATGCCTGTTGGGTTGAGCACAGAAGCCTCTACTTTAGCACTCCCTCATGGACAAAGTCCCAGTAGGAAATAAATGGGCAGGATATTAAAGAATCTTTGACAGATGTTGAAGATTTATTTAGTGATGGTGATCAGACACCAATGTTAAAAAGAAAAGCACTTAATTTGACTCTGCAGAAAGATGCAGAAACTGTAACTGATACAGAAGATACAGATCTGTCTGGAGAAGAGGATGACATTATAAAGGAAGAAAGTAACATACCCACTATTCAAGATTTAGGCCTTCTTCCTGAACCTAATAAAGAGGTAATAAACTTGACTGAGGGTTATGCTAGAGGAGCTAGTCCTATTCTGCACTCAGATTCAGAACCAGAAAGTGAGGATGTACAAGGAAAGCATATGAAGAACATATTGAGGGTAGATAAAATGAACCAGCTTGATCTTCCTTCTGACGATGTTGCAGAGGCTCTTACTGATGTTGAAGATATGGTAGCCTCAGGAGATGAGGAAGAGGTTGTTGAAGCTGAAGATTCTCTTCCAGAGCATTACATGGATCAAAGTGAAGGAGTGTCTGATAGGGAAAAACTAAAAGCTTCATCTCCTGCCCCTAAGATCTTTTTGGCTGAAAGTGAAGACTTAAGTGATGATGATAAAAAAGCTCTAAAGCATAACAGACATAAATCTAAAGTTATTCTGGAAGTAAATCCTCAGGAAGGAGGCACAACTGATGTTGAGGATTTAGTTTTGAGTGATAAAGAAGGAAAAGAAAAGCCAGAGTGTGGTAAAAATAAAAAAGAAAAAATAAGAAGAAAGAAACAGATTAGGCGAAAGACAGTGCCTAAGAAGACAATCGCAGCAAAGTCTCTCATTGTTCTGACTGGTGATTCCAGTGGTTTGACTGATGTTGAGATTTTATCTGGAGATGAGGATGAGGGGGTAGTGGAGGATGAAGATTTAGGCTTAATAGTGCCAGAAATAGACATAGGCATCTTAACAGATTCTGAGGATGTAGAAGTTTCTGACACTGAAGATGTGGCTGACTTGATGCCCAAGCCTGTGGATAAAGTTGAAATATCCCTTATACCAGATCCTCACTCTGAAAGAGTTAAAATTAGTGAAATAGAAGAGGCAGCACAAGAAGAATCTGGAGGTGAAACAGAAGAGGAAGGATTTGAACTAAATGAAAAGGATGACGAGAAAGCTTTAAACCCTCGGCAAACAGTTTTGCATGAGCCTATTGTAATTGTAGGGAAGGAGACACTTGATGCAGATGAGGAAACATATGAAGCTGCTCTTACAGATACTGAAGATTTAGGTATTGATGAACATGAGGAAGAAGAATTACTTGCTCATATCACAATCGTTTACCAGAAGAAGGGGATATTTATACAATTACTGAAATGGAATCATGCAGTGGTCAGATTACGAAAAAAGAGATAATGAAAGATTGCCAAGCTAAACAAATCGAAGATGCAGAATTAACTGGATTTTTTCTGCAAGAAGATTTTGAAGATAATGCCATACAGATGTGGAAGACCTTGATGATAGTGGTGAGTATGGAAAAAATGAAGTTAAAACAATTCCAGAAGCAAAAACAAAAGTTGAGGATGGTCTCACTGATGAAGAGAGTGTAGACGAATCTGACATTGAAGAGGAAATTCAAGAACCACCAAAGCAGGTAAGGAAAAGGAACAAGAGACTACCCCTTGTTCCACAAGTTTCTGAGGTTCGATTTGTTGAGACAGAGCAAGGGCCACTAAGCATAATTATCACTCCAGATACAATTGAAAAGCATCTAGATCAAATAATGAAAGACCAAGTAACAAATGTTGTGTTCTTAGAATCAGAAGACAAAGAAGAGGCTATCACAGACATTGAAGACCTTTCCGATGGAGAAGAAGGAAAAACGATTCTAAATTTAAAGTTACCTCAAAACAAACAAGAACCAACCACTGATACCGAGGACTTTGATATTGACCCTTGTGAGATGAACCGACCTCTCAGTCCAGTTCCACCAAATATTAAGTATAATGTTTTACCAAGTCCTAAACGGGAATTAATTCAAATTAAGGAAGACAAATATGGTGTTCCTCAAGTAACTGTTCGGAAGTTAGAAAAAGATGAATTATTTGTATCTGACATTGAAGATTTGGGTGCCACAGATATAGAAGACTTAGATGTATCTGAAGATGAGGCACTGAGGTTAGTTGGCATAACTGAAGATTCTACATCAGATTTTGAATTTCCTGATGCAGGAACTACAGAAGTCTCGACAAAAATGATTCACAAAATCCAATCAGTGCATGTGGAAGTTGAGGAAGGAGGTGGTACTGATATTGAGGAACTCCCTACAACCAGAAAACCTCGGCGCAAAGCCAAAAGTCATTCAAAGTTGATGCCTAAAGAACAGGGAGAAGATAGTCATACTGATATTGAATTACTCAGTGACCAAGATGACAAAGGAAAGCTTACAGTACGCTTGGAAAACCCAGGAGGCAATACTGATGTGGAGGATTTTGAAGCTTCAGAGACTGAAGAGGTAGAGGTACCAGACAGAGAAGATATGCCAACTCCAGATATAATACGTGATGCAGCAATAAAAAAAATGATAATATTGAAAGAAGGGCCTGATGGTACAACTTACACAGAAGATGCACATGTTGCAGAAGATCCTGTTAACTTTTTGGGGGTTGAAGGAGAAGCTGGAGGCATAACAGATGTTGAGGACATGGAAGTTTCGGGAGCAGAGGATGAAATTATCACAGACCATCCTGCAGTGGATTTGCCAGAGTATGAAGCTTCAAGTGTGGATATTTCAGAGACAACAAGCCTCCCATCTGATAGTAATGAAGCTAAACACATTAAGGATAATCTTCTTCTCCCCGAAGACAACTTTAATAATCTCACAGACGTAGAGTCCCTTGGTGAAGGGGAAGGTAACAGGTGTGCATCTAACACCCATTTATTGTCTGGTCAGCAACTAACACATGCTGTAGAGAGCTGTTCTGTAGATGAGCTTCCTTATCCCTCTTTACTTTTTGCTGACCCTAAACTCTGTATACATCCAGGGTTGTCCTTAGAAAGTGATCCATTTTGTGGTGAGTTGACCAATCCACTAGTTGTAGAGGCAGAGTTAGAACAAGTTTACTACCATGCTCCACAGGAGCAACCAAAAGAAACTGAATTGGAGTTAGAGGCCCACAATGGTTGTGTGATAAGGAGAAGACAGGTAGTAGCATCTACATGCCAAGCAAGGGAAATTCGTAGGTTTTGGGCTCAGGATCGAAATTCTCCCCTTCATCAGTCAGAAATGAGTACTTATGCTTCTCCTGTCACTCATAAAAGGGGTTTTAAAACCATCCTTTATCTTGAACAACCAGATTTACTTGATGCCATTAGTATAAGTGACACTCTATGTGATTCATATTACTTTAAAAATGAGCGTTTTCTTGAATTTGATTCATCTAGTATTGCATCCTCCAATGATTATTTTCCTTATAGGGAATCAGACATAGTTTCTGTTGTTGACCATTTCAGTCAAGAAAGGAGCAGTAGTCTTGATGACCTTCCCAGCCCACATCTAAGCAGCATTGGTGGCTCAATTGTTGATTCATTATATTCAGTGAAATCATTTAGTACAGATACTCATATTCACAGACCACTATGCTCAAGTCCACTATCAAATACTCTGTGTAACCAACCACTGTGCTCAAGTCCACTATCAAATACTGCATATAACAGAGGTAGTGGTGATAACCACACATGGACTCAGGAGTCTCAGTTATGGCTTCGTGGGAATAGTACCTCCATTTGCAGTTTCTCTCCTGAAATTACTCAGCAACAAATTACAAAAGTAGAACCCTCAGAAAAGAATATTTCAGATGAACTTCATTTTGAGACAGAATTGTGGTTTATATTTTGAAAGTACTAAAAAAAACAACACTGGTGTGTCCCTGACCCAGGCATCTTGTCAGCATTTCAGTACCAGCAAATTACCTGCCGAGGTCAGTACAACACAAACTGAAAAGCCTATCTATAGTGAAATGGAGAAAGACTGTGCAGGCATACATAGGTATTCTGCTCATAGATCTGCATCATATCAAAATATAATAGGTTTAGATACACCTATAGATTGCATAAAAGGAAAAGACACTATATATGAGGAAAACAGTTTTATTAAAAGTTTACCAAAATATTTAAGGAAGTCCTCAAAATGTTTAGGAGAGACTAGTGATACAGCTATTTATGAAGAATATATGCTTAAAGAGGAACAAGAAGGAAAAAAGGAGGAAAGAGTACCAGCTGAATTCAGTTTATCACAAGAGAAAGATGCAATTAGGAGGCTAAATTTTGAATTTTATAAAGAATATATTCCTCAGTCATTAGAAACCTCACCAGTAGATTTTCAAAATAATTTCTTGTTAACATGTGCATTTGACTCAGATGTTAAGTGCATTGACAGTAAGCTGACAGCTGATGTAAATTCATTGACAGAAGAAAATAATGAAAGTACCACAACAATATCCAATGCAACCCACTGTCTTTTTT